AGAGGCCAGTAGATGCAGCTGTCAGAATGGGCAACAGGCTGGACAGGTGACCAAGGAGCCCTGACCCCCATGCACGGTGGCAAGGGCAAAAGGCTGGACTGGCTACCAAGATTCTTTGACCCACAGAAATCTGAAGTCATGGGCAATGAATCACGATTATTTTAAGATAAAATATGTGGGTACCGACTGTATTGCCTGACTTGGGTGATCAGCAGAAACTGTCAGTCTCTATAGTGAAATGCTTTGATCCCTGGCCTCATTTCCGTATCTAAGCCAGCTCTCACGCTCGGACTTTATAGATTGAATGCAAGGCTGAGTTCCCTTAAAGAAAGACCCTGTAATTTCACCACAAATATTTACAACAATATTCCCTTGCTTTCTTCATGGACAGGAAGCCATCCTCCAGAAGACAGCACTGGGATGAGAGGAACGTGCAGAGCCTTTGAGGGCTGCTGGGTGCAGGGCTGGGCTGACACTGATTCATGGCCCTGAGTGGGGTGGAGGCCACATGAGCCCTGGGGCCCTGCCTTTCGTCAGTCTCATCCCTCACAGCTGCAGATGCTCAATACGTTGTCATGCTCTCTGCACAGTGCCCACCTGCACAGCTGCTTAATCTCCTGAAGCCTTGCCTTCTCCCTGTGCTTCATCCCACAGCTGTAGCAGTGACAATTTGCATAATGGTAATAATGGTGCCTGCCACAGCTCACAAAGTCTCAATTCTCCCTGGCAAGGTGGTGTCTACGTATTCCTCAAATGTGTGGCCAATGTAATCCCAAAATCCTATATCAAGGGTTTCTTTTAGGGCCACCCCAATAAGTGTTTCTGTCATTTGACAGGAAGAAGATGGAATACTCGTTATAGGTAATTGAATTGAGTCTAATGACGGGACTGTTTACAAAGGTGAAGCCGTGGTTTGCGGACATCAGCAGTGGGTCTGGCAGTAGCAGGGGAGCTATCACCACCCTTAGTCAATGGCAAGGGGAGGAACAGTTGTCTGAACCTGGAGAAGATGGCAGTGGAGGGAACTGGCTGCCAAGGGCCGTAGCAGTTGGTAAAGGACACAGATGGCCACAGCAACCTAGTGTAGGGAAGGTGTGGAGTAACTGCTCCAGCCTCGCTCTCCTTCCCCCTTCTGGTCTCCTGACAGTGCCACCTCCTTGGCTGAGCCCACCTGGAAGGCAGAGGGCCCTGGAGCCTGTGGCAGCACTCAGAGGCCAGCCTCCTGGGCCAGAGGGCAGCTGGGAGTGGGAAGCTAGTCTGGATGGTTGGGGGAGGCATCAGTAGAAAATCTCAGCAGCAGAGGATTCGAGGATTCTTAGAATAATGTCACTTCCCTTCATGGGCATTTTCAGAAGTGTTTTTAAATGGAAGAGGAAGATGTGGGGTTACACCGGGAGATCACGGGAGTGCTTACTCTGGGTGACCGTGCCGCAGAGTGGAAGAGGCAGAGAGCTGCTGTATTACATTGTTAGCCCTGAATCATCACCTCTTGGAGCCTTGATTCCAGCTGAGTTTGGGGGGCAAGATGTGGGAAGGAGAGGCTTGGGTTAGGGTTATGGTTAGGCCAATTCTAGGGGGCATGAGTGCCCTGAAGCTGATTCTGTTGGAGTACTGGCGTTGGGGCTGTGCTGAAATGAGACTAGAGAACTTATGGCTTATTTCTTAATTTCACTTGACATGGACCCTTTAGAGACACTCCTGACAAAAGACACATTCTTCAAGGCAAATGGAAGAAACTGTGAAGTATCTAAGGATTGACTGATGGTTTGTGGTGTTAACCTAAATGACAGGAGGAGACTCTCGAAAAGATGTTTATTTGGGAACAGGGCATTGCGGTGGGAATGTGTATGACATGCCATGGTGAACAATGTGCAGATTTGGGGGGGAGAAAGACAAAGTCTTTTTTAAAAAATGAGGAAGATCCCATAATTACTTTGAAATAATTATTCTTGGCTACACATATCAATGACAAGGTTGATACCAGTTTGAGGTTGGACGGGCAGCTGCTGGGCAGATGTTCTTGAAGAAGTGCTTTTTGTGTAAGGTTGCAATGGCCTTTCTGAAAGATTTTGGTTTTTATAGTTTTTATTTTTTTGTTATCTGGCTGGAAAACCCTATTCATGGCCTTCCCAGCTCTGTATGTCACGATTTTCTTTCTTTTTTTTTGGCATGGCGTTAGCCTAGCTCACAACAACCTCCAACCTCCAACTCCTGGGCTCAAGCAATCCTTCTGCCTCAACCTCCCAAGTAGCGGGGACTACAGGCATGTGCCACCATGCCTGGCTAATTTTTTCTATATATTTTTAGTTGACCAATTAATTTCTTTATATTTTTAGTAGAGACAGGGTCTCGCTCTTGCTCAGGCTGGTTTTGAACTCCTGATCTTGAGCCATCAGCCTGCCTCGGCCTCCCAACTGCGCCTGGCCTCAGGGTTTTCTTAACATTAGTGACTCCATTAACACTGACAGCTTCTGCAGTGGATTAGTTGGCCCCTTGCTTCTGCCTGTACTTTCGTTGGTTATCCAAATGTCTTGCCTGCACCGTTCTATTACAACTGCCTTGATGATGTGGGTTTGTCTCGCTCATCTTTGTATCCTCGGAAGCACCTGGCACAAGGCCTGGTGAATAATGTGTGCTGTAAACACTCTCCAGGGACACCAGACTCTCCTGCAGGCTCCTGTTGTGTCCCGCTGTGCACTCATCCAGTAATAACCTTCAGGAAAATGAAAGAAGACAGAACCTGAGTCTGTTTGTTGGTTTCCTGACAGCAGCTATGCTCCTTGGATGAGGGAAGAGTTGAAATTCTTGGTGACACGGGGGCCTGGGGATTACTGTCAGTATTGGAGGAGGTCCAGTGTTGTCTTCAAAGAGTCCCTGCAGCACATCTCACCCTCTCTGAGGGGCCAGTACTGTGATCAACACAATCTTGTGAAATTAATCTGAGCTATTCCACATCTGATTTTTTCCTTTTCTGTCTAGTTTCTGCTTGGGCTGTGCTTCTGGATTCATAATTCCCTCAGAAAAGCTCTTTGTACCTTCTGGAGAGTGACCCTTCCTGCACTGCCTGCTCCTGGGACTTCTAACTGTATTAACGGCGTGCCCACCCACTCTGACTCACCCGTGACCGATGCCACCTCTCTCTCCAGACTTGTCTTGTGAGGCTAGATGGTGGTGGTGGGGTCTCAGAGCTGGGTCCTTATTTTCCCAATTCCTTGAGAGGTGATGGCCCAAAGAACTCAGTAGATGTCGAGCTATTTGTCATTCTCAGTTCTGCAGCAGGTGCAGTGAACTGGAGAGGGAAGCCAGGAAGTTCACTGCCACAATAGGTCAGGGGCTCCAGCCATCTGTGGTGGGAAGAGTGGCTGTGGGGGCTTGCTCAGTGAGTCCCTGTTGGGAGGTGAAGAGTAGGGAGCATCTAAGGACCCTAAACTTCTGGCTGTCCCTGCTTGTGTCTGGCCCCCACTGGTTCAGGTCTCTAGAAATCTTTTCCAGGAAACTAGACAATGTTCATAGTCCTAACTTAACTGACCCTTAGGGTTTTCATGTGTATAATGTGGAGGGGATTCAATGATCTCTCAGGTCTTTTATGGCTTTTAAGATTCTGTGATTTCTTTGCAGCCCACACCTGGTTCTCTGACTTCTTCCATGGAATCGCATGAGCCCTTATCTGATAGAGAAGGCATGCGTTGGCAAGGAAGTGCTCTGGGAAGAGCTTTGCTTATTTACTCTCAGAAGGAGAGTAGTCTCTCATGGGCCGGAATGCACTTTAAATATATTAGAGCTTGTCATGTCCTGGAAAAGTGACAAATGAGATTTAGTGCTGTTCCTGATGATTGACACTGTGGTTGAGAATGGAGCTGTAAAGAGCCCTCTCCAAAGCCTGGAGCCAGGTAATTATTATCTTCTTAATTCAAGACCTCCAAGAATAAAAGCTTAAAAATGCAGAATAAGCTTTGTTTTTGCCATGATTTGATGAGGCAAATGGGAAAGAATCCTCAAAATGGATGATTAGGCTTTACCGTAAGGCAGATGAAATCTCTGTAAAAGGCAGAGTCTCTCCACACTTATGCACATGGAGATGCTGCTGTGAGGTCAGTGTGCAGCGAGCCCCTTAGGGAACCGAGACAGCTGCAGCATTGTCATCCGACACTGTCTAACAGGGGAGAAGCACAGCCTGGGGCTTTGCTGCCAGACAGCTTTAGATTTGAACCCAGGCTCTTATACTTATCTGCTGTGTGATTTTGAGCATGTTATTTAGCTTATATGAGCCTCAATTTCTGCACCTAGAAAGTGGGCATTATAATACTCATTTCATGGAATTATTGTTTATATATTATGATTTCTATATTTAGCCAACATTCACTTTCTGCATGTATATTATGTACCAGATACAGGCACTAGGTGATTCTATATATGGTATTCCACCTAAAACACCAAGGCTATATGTGGCTTGTTCCTTGTATCTCTCTCTCTCTGTACTTCTAGCCTATCTATTTTAGTTTTCCATACATCCACCACCCATCCACTCATCAACACATCCATCCATCCACGTGTTCTAAATGCCGGAGACACCATGACTCATGAGATAAAAATGTCTTGAGCTGGTAGTCAGGACACCAATGTTCTGCCTGCTCTGCCATAGAGACAGTGCATTTAGTGACTGAGAACACTGATGTTGGAGCCAGAATGCCTGGGTTTAAATCTAAGCACTGCCACTTACTGGTCACATCATCCTTGGGCAAGTTATTCAATTGCATTGCATCTCTGTTTCCCATCTGTAAAGTGGGGGAGATAATAGTGATAATTTGCGGAATTAATGACGCACAAGGTGTTTAGAATGACACACTTGACATGCAACACCTGCCTGCCGTGTTATGAGGAGACCTTGGGCCCCTGTGCCAGTAGATCCAGATTGGGGTTTTAAATGAGGTAGACCTGGGTTTGAAACCTGGTTTCTCTATTTATCAGCCTTGAACTCTTGAGAAAATCGTGGTACTTACATTTTCAGAGCTTCAGTTTTCTCAGTTAGGGATTTTGCCTATTTACAGCTCAGAAATCGGCAGCATAATCTAGAGGAAAAAGCACAGGTTCTAAAGTAAGAAATTCTGGATTTGAGTGTTGGCTCTAACTCCTGTGATCTTAATCAAAATGCTTGGACAGATCATCTGAGGGTTTTTTCCCTGTAAAATGGGAATGATAATTATATATCTCACAGATTTTATAGTGAATATAAGGTAAAACAGTATATTTGAAATATGTTAAAGTATGAAGCATACCACAAATTCTAATGTTTAGAAATATCATGGTTCCTTTTCCTGCAGCTATGCGTGAAGTAAAGATACAGCCATGGGACCTTTGGCCCAGTGGGCTAAACCCTGGTCTTGACTCTGTCTGGGCTATGACCCCCCAGCAGAGGTGCCTGCAATCCAGGGCCCATGACAGTGTGCTAGCAAGTTCTTTCTTGGAGGACCAACTTTCCTCAAAGGTTTGGAAAAATTCATTCTTTTATATTAACTACCATGGAGTGGAATATACATTATTCACGAGTTTTTTTTTTTTTTTTTTACATTAAAATATGAGACTTCAAGAAAGATTTGTGATTGTGGTGAACTGCTTCTGGTTCTGTCTCCAGAAAATCATCATCTCAAATCACTTTCCTTTGGTGGTATTTTGGTGAAAGAGTTTGAGAGGTACTGACATTAGTTGTTCACCACAATTAGCATGTTTTCTCCCTGAATTGTAGACTTTATGCAACATTTCATCATTAAGAGTAGGGTGTGTTTTCCTTGAGGTCTAGAAACTGTCTTGGAGAGAAAACTCCATCAGCCAGGGTAACCTTGCCTGTAAGTCACAAACGATCCCCAGCATACATGGGCTAGTACAACAGGGAATTTATTTTCGCATACACTGAAGGTCAGAGGAAGGGCAGCCTCTGGGTTTGAAGATGAATTATGTCATTAGGGGCCCAGGCTTCTTTCCAGATGCTTCACTCTGTAGCACGGTCGGTGACAGTGGCTACCTGCTTCCTCATTTCCACCCAGCAGGTGGGGGCTGGAGGCAGATAGTCAGAGTGTGAACCTGAGACACTTCTCACCAACCACGGGATAGAAATCCTGGGTTGTGCCTCCACCTCTGGCCCAGTAAAGTCAGGGCCACCACATGGAGTGTTTGCAGGGAAGGAAGAGCATGGGGATGCATGTCGGGGAGACAGTTGTCAGCATCTGCTTTAGGTGTCCTCTAGGGAGACAGAGTAAATGACCTCCTAGTGCCTTGTCTATGTCTTTTGGGATTTTCCCTCCAACTGAATTTTGGCCTATGGTCTTAATACAAAGTTGGTCACTGTGGTTGTGAAGTCAAATACCTTGATTTCTGGCTTATTTTGCTGTAATTTCTATTGTGCAGAAGACTGAGTAGATAATGAGAGGAAATGTTATTCTGTTAACAAATTATGAGCTGAGAGCAGAGAGAACCTGGGGAAGTTGCCTGTGCCTTGTGAAACTCGTAAAAGCCAAGAGAGGGCGTCACCAGACAGCTGCCTTAGGAAAAGCTTAGGGAAATTGACTTCAAGTTGAGGAAGAGATCTGCATGATCACTAGGTCAGAGACTTAACAATAACATATACCTCAAGGGGAAAGAAAAGTGATTGATAGAAACTTGAAATCCTGGCAATATGACTGTGAGAGGAAACATGGTATAATGCAGAGTGTGGGCCTTGGAGCCACATTTCATCCTATACCTGAGCTCTGCACCCTTCCAGTTTTCCCCGTCCGTAAAGCAGGAATGATACCCCCTTCTTAGGAGAATTAGAGACAATGTATGTTAAGTTCCAACAACATATAGATCATGAAGAAATGGTAGTTCTTAATATTATTGATCCTAAAAAGTAAGAAAAGGGGAATATATCTAAAGAAATTTATGTATCCTTTTTGATGCAATAAAAATTTTAATAGCACGTGTTCATGAGTCTGGAAAGGGGCACAAAATCCAGAAAGAATCTGAAAGAATGACTTGAATTTTTTTTTTTTTAAAAAGTGTCAGTACAGGCCAAAATTCCATAAAAAATGTTTAGGATATCAAAAAGGCTTTTAAAGAAAATTTGTGCTTGGAGTATGATGAGGAACAAGAGCAGAACCCACCCATGGCTTAGCTGATGGTAGCAGATGGCAGAGGACAGGGGAGCCTACGAGGTCCTCGCTGCTGTCTGCTTCCAGCTGGGACGGAAACAGCAAACACCAGAAAGAAGCAAAAAGAAGAACAAGACTGGTGAGAGTCAGCAGGCAATGTCTGACCTGCTTTAGATGAGGGTATCTGCAAATCCAGGAAAATTATATCCAGGGAACAGAGAAAATTTGAAGGACAGACAATTGGCCAGTTCTCTAGATACTTCTAGTTAGGCCATTCAGATTTGTTTATTGGCTTAAAGATGGAAAAGCAAATGCTCTTCCAAGTGTAAGTCCAGTGAAATTAATATGTGGGTGTGTCTGCTTAAATATTCATAATCTTATACACACACTCATACACACACATATATATTATATACATATGTAGTTAAAAGCCAACAGACATCCTAAACCACATGATAAACTTGAGTTTAATCTCCCCAACTATAGGCTCCCCTGTTCTTTTTGACTAATTTTCTGATTGATTCTCCCACCCTCTCAGGAAGAGAAAGGCAAACACAATACTCAGTCCCGAAAGAACTGGAACCTTTCCAGTGCATACTATTCTTTTGTCCTTCAGCTTCCAGTTTGGGCTGTCTGGAACTCACTACACAGATTTCCTCTGGCTAGGCAATGCCTGTATTTTGGATCCGTGACTATGTATTTTTCCACCACTGCTTATGACTCATATGCCAATCCTTTAAGCAAATAGAAATGCCCTCATGGCAATCCTTCTGCTGGGTATTTACCCTTCAGCTCCGGTACAATCTGGAACTCAGGTGCTTATCTCCAAAGGATATAAGAGCAGAATGATAGAGCAAAGGTATGAGATTATCTACCTACCTACCTATATAATCTGCTGGGAGAGAAAGAGAGACAGAGGCAGACACACAGACACAGAGAGAAAGTGTGCTAAGCAAGGGTTTGCCTTTGATACACAGTAGCATCTCATATACTTTTGGAAAATAAATATTGTTCAAGATGCTTTATATAATACATCAAATGGCAGAATATAAAAAAGCATTTACTCCTAGATTTTAAAAATGATTAAACTGGGTTAATACCTTGATTAACTGAAATGCTGTTGACATTTGGATTTTTTATTTTTTTTTTTGCTTAACCCAAGGATTAGAATCATTAATTTTTTCTTTCTACAAATTCTACTTACTCTCCACCATAGAACAGGCACTATCTAAAGTGCTAGAAATACAGGAGCAAACAAAAGAAGTCCTTGTTGTTGTGGAACAACAGTGGAAAGAGAGACACAAAACAAAGAAGGAAAATAAAGAAAGGAGATGGCCAGGGCTGGTGTGGGGAGGAGATGCCTTTATATGTGGAGTGATTGGGAAAGGCGTTGGTGACAATATGACCTGAGGAAGTGAGGGAACAGTGATGTCTGAGGGGTGGGGGGCCCCTCGGAACTACAGTGCAGCCATTTGGAGACTACCTAATGTGTCATGCTTCTTGATTGACATTTAGCCATTTCCCCCCAAAATATAAAAAATTGGTAAGTGGATTCCCATCTGTGTATCTTTGAGGTTCCTAAGTTGTTAGCCACTCCCTCTACTAGGCATATTTAAGCTAGGTAGTTTCTTCTCTCTCTTTCTTTATTCATCTCTTTATATAAACTACAAATATAAACTACAAATGCTAACAGCAGAGAGGGAAGAGAAACCACAGCCTACTAAAAGGAAACAAACATGAAAATAAAACAGTTCTCAAACATTTGCTGTGTCCAGGGCACCTGTGCAGTGATTACACAGCTTCAGTTTTCAAAAGGCCCATCTAGTTCACTTTAGCAGACGCTGGGGCCTTTGTACTGGGAGGACTTGGAGTACAAAGACGAATATGATTTTGTCCTTGCCCTTGAAAATTTACTCCAGCCTAGGAAAGGAGATTGACACAGGTCTGAGGCCACCGTGTGAAATGCTGCAGGAGGCAGCGTATGCAGTTGAGCCTGCAGAGAAATCCACGAAGCTTCCCATCTTAAGCTGAGTTCCAACCCTCCTGCCTACAAAGTGTTCCTCCTACTTCTAAACTCTTAAAAAAATTCACAGTATCTCTTCATCACATTGTGTTGCGTCATGGTTTTCTGTATCCTAGAGAGCTTTGTCAAGTTCTTGCCTCTCTGTTTTAGTTTCCTCATCAATAATATGAGGAGAGTGGTTTGTATATCGTAGACTTGCTGTGAAGACTGGATGAACTGGTTAATTAGAACACTTAGATTAACACTCGCAAACAGTATCCAGTGTCATTGCTCCTGCTGCAGTTTGTCACTGGAGTTTTCTCTCCTCCCCTTGAGATACAGCCTGCAGTGCTTTGGGGTACAGGGCTTGAGGAAATAGGTTTGGAAGGGGGAGTTGGAAATTACAAAAAGAGAAGTCTCCCTGACTTCAAGCCTTGCCTAGATTATGCCATTGGCCTAGGTCTGCAAAGCATTCCATTCATATTGCCTGGTGCATATTCAACTCAGGGATCCTGCAAATGACTGAGTTTATGGTGCTCCTAGGACATCTTGTCATCATGTTTGAGCCTGAGTACCCGTATTCGGTACCACTGACGTCCCTGCATTAGACTTCGAATCCTACTCCTTGATCAACTATGGGTCCAACCCTTCTTCACTTTGTCCCAGATCTATGTGAAGGGGTCAGATTGATTCTTATGATAAAGGAGAGAGGCTGGGAGCTCAAACTCACAGCCTGTCAATTGATAACAGCTAATTTCTGTTGAGCCCTTAGCATGTGCAGGCATAAACAATCTAAGTTTTGCACCTGTGTCAACTTCTTGAGTCTTTACAACAAACTTGTGAGGCTAGTACTATCATGGTCTCTGCTTTACAGACGATGAAACTGCACTGCAGAGTTTAAGTCATATGTACACACGATAAACGGCAAAACCAGGATCCACACTTGGGCAGTATGGCCCCACTCCGAGTCACTGTACTTCTGAGCTTTGAGTTGGTTTATTAGTATGATGCAAGGGGTTTGCCTCATGTGCAAAAACCAATGGAAAGTTTCCATCTGTTTTCTGGCACTTGAAGAAAAGTGTTGTCTCTTTTTCTTGAAGTTGGCCTTGAAGTTTGCTCTTAATAGGTATGTAGAAACTTCCTATTTTAAGTTAGTGCTTTATGGGTTTCTACTGATGAACAGTTGAACAAAAACAATATGATGAGGTAAGACTGAAGAAGATTGCCAACTTCTGCTGTAGAACATTCGCTCACAGTGCATGGGCCAAACATCGCCCTTGCGCATAATTGCATATTGGATGCAAGTGTGTAATTCTGTGCATCTTGATGATAAGGTGGTTGTCTAGAGTATTTTTTTTGGTTCTTGGTGTCTTGAAAACATGATGCTTCTCAGAAGTGGTGTAAGTACATTACAATGAATTTCGAGTGTAACTTATTTGGGGTGGGGGATACATTCTGAGACCAGCATTTCCTTTTTGAAGATGCAGTGGCAAGCCATTCCTCAATACATCAGGGCAGCTACTAAGTGTTCCTGAGAGAGTTTTGCATTCTTCCTTGGCTTGATTAACCCACCAGGGCCCTGCACAAGATTCCAAGATGCAGTTAGCTTTTTGGTAACTCCATTTTCAAACTTACATCAACAATTCTGTGCAGAAAACATTCAGCTCCTTTTTGCAGATAACATGGTACAAGGCAGTCCTCCAACTATCACCTCTAGCTTTCAAGGAACAAGTGTTATTTTTTTAGTGGAATGTACTTATTTCTTCACCCTTTAGCGATAGTTTAAAAACAAGCTGTGTGCTCACTATTGAGGTCTGTGAGAGAGACATGTCTCCTTTAAAGCTGTTCTTCTCCAACTTTAATGTGTGTTAAATCCCCTGGAGCCTTGTTACAATGCAGACCCTGGTCTCTCACAAGCTCTGATGATGTTGCTGCTGGGCTGGGGACCACCTTTTCAGCACTAAGACCCCAAAGTGCTGCTCCGCCTCCCTGTCATCTGAGTTTCCAGGAGTTACCAGTCTGTGCATAAGGTGGCAGCTACTTCAGCGTTAATTCCAAGTTGATGCCCCTTAGTCTTTGTCTTGAGGTCTTTGTCTTTGTACCACTTCTCTGTGGGTTCCACTGTATCTCCCCAAAGATAAACTTAACCCCCAGTACCTCAGAATGTGGCCTTATTCAGAGGCTCTTTACAGATGTAATCAAATTAAGATGAGGTCATTAGGCTAGGCCCCAATGCACTACGACTGGTGTCCCAATAAAAAGGAGAATTTGGGTGCAGAGACAAACATAGGCAGAGGGAAGATGTCATGAAGAGACCTAGGGAGATGGCCACATGGAGATGAATTGGGGTGGTGCGTCTCCAAGTCAGGGAGGGCCAAAGACTGCCAAGAAACCACCAGAAGCTGGGAGAGGCATGGAAAAAAAAATCCCCTCTCACATCCCTCAGAAGGAACCTGCTGGCTTATACCTTGAAGTTGGACTTCCAGCCTCCAGGGCTGTGAGGACGCTAACACTACTTCCCTCCCGCAGCACCGGTCCCCCGGGAACCCTCGCCTGAGCGCAGGCTCTTGGGTTCCCTGCGATGGTGTCACCCTTGCTGGGGGAGTGGGGGCCTTGAACAAAATGGCTCTGCTGAGGCTACCAACTCTCCCCGGGGTCTGTGGCACAGCTGTCCGCCACCGGTGGTTTACCTGGGCCCCACAGGAAGCACCACAGGAAGCAGTGGGAGGGTAGCCAGGTGTAAGGCTGGTGGCGGCCCCCTCCCTTCCCTAGATCAGAAAAGAAAAGGCTCAGGAGACCAGACCCGCCAAGGACGACTGCCCCGCTGAAAACTGCCACACCCGGATAAGAACGTTTCGGCTCCTGGATTCCGCAAACACCGCCAAACCCTCCTATTTCTCAATGCCCACCAAAGGCCGCCCCAGCTCTTCCCGCCAAAAGTCCCTAGCCCGCCCAAATGGTATAAAAGGCCGCACCCCCTTCTAACGGAGGCGACTTCCGGGGCACCCCCTCTCTTGGGGCCCCAGAACCTTGTCCGGGAGCACTAAATAAAGCCACGTGGTTCGGCCCCGCTCTTTCTCTGTCTTTTCCTTTTGCTGCCGCGGAAAAACCTTACGCCAGGGACAGTGGGGAGGGCTGGAGAGCTGGACGGACCTGCCTTTGGAGCTCTCCCCGGGTGGCGTCTCCTCAGGTGGCATCTCCCCAGGTGGCGTCACTTGTGCCCAGGTGTCACCGTCCCCTCTTCCCTGCTGCCCGTTTCCTCAGGGGTCGCCACCGCCCGCCATCTTTACAAAGATCCTCCCTTCGCCTCTCAAAACACCACAGGCCTCACCGTACGCGTTTGCCGATTCAGCGCACACTGACGCTCCGCGCCGCGGTCTGACGGCCTGGCCCGGCAAGGCCCCCGCTGACTGACGAGGGTGAGGGCGCCTGTGAGGCGAGCAGCGCGGCGGGGACGGGCTCCGAGCGCTTCCGGCGAGGCGCGGAGGCGGCTACGCCAACCCAGGGCAGCGTGCGGGGCGTGAGGCGCGGTGGGGACGCGTGCGGGGACGTGACGCCGGGGTCAGGGACCTCGCGAGCGCCACCTGCTGGCCGGGCGTGGCGGGAGATGCTCCGCGAGAGCGGTGGAGACCTGGGGCAGGAAGTGGCGGACGCTGAGGAGACGCCGCGGGCTGAGGGCTTTGAGGTAAGGCGCGGGTGTGTGCGTCACGAGGGGCCGTCTTCACGCTCTCCTTGTGAGTGAGAAATTCACCCGGGGTGCCCGGGGAGGGCCAGTGTCAGCAGCGGGGCGGCGGCGGCTGTGCGGGGTCTGCAGCCCCGGGGAAGGTGGCGTGGGACGCTTTCGGGGAGGAGGCCTGAGAGGGTGACCGTCGAGGACGTGTGTGGGGTCTGAACGCGTGCGGGTGGCGAGAGGGGCGGCTCCGGCAGGGAGAAGGCGCGCCAGAGGGTGTGCTCGGGGAAGAGAGGAGCCGCGGCCGGCCGGCGTGGGGAGTCGCGCCCGGGTGAGTTTAGAAAGATGGGTTAACCCATAGCACGGAGGACCTCGAGGGCCCTTTTTCCATGTTGTTCCCACTTTATCTTCAGGCCATAGGAAGTCCTTTCTCTATCTTGTTATCTGCTTTTTTGTGAGTAACGCATTGCCGTAGGTTGGATCCCCTGGAACACACGCTGAGGTTTGCACTCAGGGAGTCTAGGGGGAGGGGGCTGGTGGTCTGGTGGGCACCATACCTGTGGGTTGTGGAGGAAACGCATTTGGCAGAAGAAGAAATCGCAACAGAGGCCTCAGGTTGACCTCTAAGAGTTGTCCACATTGAGGAAAAAAGGACAGGCCTTTGTTCCCTGCATCTAACCAGCACTGGACATACGCAGGCTGTCCCCAGGGAGAGGGTGTGGCCTTAGGAGAGTCACTTCCCACTGGTCTAGAATACCTCCCGGAGGTGGAGTTAGCAGGAGGCTGTAATGTGTCTACCTGGAGGAATGAGCGCCTTGTCCCCAAACAGGGAGCTGGGCAGCAAACCGCCCCCCCCCACCTTGCTGGGAGTAAAATAATCAGAGCTGAGAGGTCACTGCAGGTGGATGTTGCTGGAAGCTCCTGGACTGCAAATTGTTGCCAGTCCTTGACGAGATAAGGAGCTTGCATCCAGGTGTAAAGCAACACAACGCTTCCTTCACTGAGTCTCGCTGTGAAAAAACAAGAAGGCAGAACTAGATGGTGTTGACTTAAGCTCCAGTGCAAACTGCTCACAAGCTGGGACAGTTTGCAGAACAGCACCAGTCAGCAAGCCACACCTTGAGTGGCCCTACCTCTGTTCTGTCCTGCAGGAAAGTCACTCTGGGTCATTTCCTTATCAGCTGCATTTGTGATGCTAACCTTTTTTTTTTTTTTTGGACTTCTAGAGTCTGGGAGATAAAACTTTGCTTACTCTCTGCTTTCCTAACAGACCTTTCCTTTTTTTTTCTCCCCAGGGTGGGGAGGTTGATTCATCTTAGTAGATCTTGTCAGATTGTGTCTGGCTACATATATTTGTTCTTCCCAAATGTCCAATCTTTGTCAGTTGAGAAATATTTGAAGTGCTGACAAGGCTCTTATGGACAACTCACCTATCATTGCAGAATCTGCAGGATTAATTCTTCTTAATTATGTTAGTGCTCGGCCATCACTCAAGTTTATTGATGCTGTCTGGTTGTGTCTAGAAGATTTATATGTATCTATATTCATCCCACACAGAAGGGACTACGAATAACTTGGCTATCTTTTCAGTATCTTTTCACAGGAGACAAATGTTATATTAATACAATTATTATTTAATAAAGAAATCTCTTTAATAAATAAGCACTTGCTTCTCTAAGTTTCCTCTCTAGGGTCCTGGAAGGAGAGTTTGGGAATCTGGGATTGTCTTTGCAATTCCTGTTCCTTTTCTCCTTGTAGCTTAGTTAAAAACCCACTCTGCAGTCAAAGAGTTTCATTTCCAGATATGAAAATTTATATAATTCTTGAGAATTATATAAAAGTCCATCAGGCAGAATTTAATCATTTTAATGTACATGGCCTTTGGCTTTCACATCATTGAGTATGTAGTGACTGGATTTCAGATAATCAGAAGGAAATAGAGTGACACTAGAATCATGGACTTGTGAAGGGTTGTGTCTGAAATGAACCTGGCTGAGTCGGGTATTTCTTTGTCCCAGGCACATATCACTGTTCCCAAGGACTGTGACTGTGCAAGTCTGGAATGATATTCCAGTGTCTGCATATCTTTTAAGCTTTGCAGGTGTTTCCTGTGTTCGCCTAGGTTTGAAAACCATAGACAGGTTACTCCTCTCTTAATCTAGAGGGGGAAGGAACCTGGATGTGAAGGGCCAAGTACCTGTGCTGAGGGGTGGTCTCCAGGTTTCATCAGCAGAGTTTTAACTGAGCCTTGGGGAAGGAACGGAAAGCCAGAGGTAGTGGAGTTGCCAACCTAAATGTTCTAGCAGTAAGCGCTGGGATGGAAACTCTGTGCCAAGCCCTGGGCCAAGCTCTTAAATGCTCATCTTCTTTTAAAATCTTCACTCTAATTGTACAAGGAGGTATTGTTATCCTAACTGATATGTGAGAGAACTGAGATCCATATTTTGACCAAGATGATGTAAGTAGTAAGCAGGAGTCAGGGATTGAACCCAGGCTTCTGATTGGAGACCTCTGTTCTTAACCTCCCTGCTGGAGAAAGAAGGACCAGTTAGGAGACTTGCAGGGGCCGTCTGTGGAAGGCAGGTTATGTAATGTATGTGTGTGAGCACCCATAAAAGTCCAAGCATGGTGGTTAGTAGATTGAATATACTTCTTATCATGCAAGAAAAGAAAGTAGAAGCTAATAAAATGGGGGGAGGGGGAGAAGAAGGGCTAGAGAGAGAAAAGTGGGGAAAAGTGATGGATGACTGATGATGGAAGAAGAGTGTGGTCTGTGGGGGTGTACCACTAGGCAAAGACAAAAAAAGCCCAAGTCCCAAGTGCCTGGCTAAAGCGTGGCTATGGTATCACATTGACGGCAGGGATTGTGGGTCAAGAGTGGCTGTAATCTGTGCCTGTGGATTCTTCTGAAAGAATCAAGCCAGAATATAGAGTCTGGAGAAAAATAAATGTGGTGATTTGTGTATTCCTGAATTATTTTTCCCATGGGCGTCAGCAGGTGAGGAAGCTGATTCCCTGCTCCTCCCTCCTGACGTTTGGCTCTTGTAACAAGCAACAAAGAGCCCCGCCTTTTAGACTAGATGTCCTCTGTGTCACCTTATTTGTGTTTCCCCAATCTCATTTACTCCAGATTATTAGGTATAACTACATTGACGCCTCGTTTAGAAAAAAATGACCAAAGTCTTTACACACCCAAACTTCAACATATAATCTGGAATGGAAAAGTTCTCACAAGTGAAGAACTATCATACAAAATATATTGAACTTTAACCAATCCTGAAGATTTAGAATCTTCTCTAGGGTGTTAAGACTTCCCCAACACCTGGTGTTCTCAAAAGCTAGGGGGACTGTGGTTATAGTTAATTTTGTTCTCAATGACCCTAGAGTGTTGAACTTTTCAATTCTGTCTATTTTTGATATTTCTGCCTCTCTTCTAACAGTTATATGTTTTAAAAACACATTTCTCCACTATTGGTGAACCTGTTTTTCCCGCATTCTCTGTCTATAATCTGCTTTTCGATAACGAAGATTACAATAGTAGTTATATTTTATGCACTATTTTAAGGTAGTAGTCTCTGTCGGGGCCCACAGGTTATTCTCTTCTTTCCCTGCGAAGTGAATTTCTGACAGTCATTACACAGTTATCTCTTAAATAAAATGAAACTCACTGCTGCTAGAAATTTAAATAGCTTTTCATCTGAACACATTGCTTCCAAAGGAGAAATCAAGGTAATTATCCCAGTTAAGAGCACACAAATCATTATTTAATTACTTGTCTACCTTCCCTGCTAGATTATAACTCCATAAGAAAAAACTCTGGTGTTTGTTTTGCTCAACACTTAATTCCTACTTTAACAAATTTATTCATAGCTTCTATGTATCAGGTGCTCTTCATATAGCAGTGAAAAGAAAGTCCCCACGCTAATAGAGTTTACATTTTCTAGTTAGGTAGAGATAATAAACAGATAAATAGTTAGACAATGTCAGAGGTGATGACTTAAAAAAAAAGAAGAATGCAAGTCACGCAGGAAAGAATGGTGGTTGTGAAGTTATTCTATGGCTGTGCCTACCTGCTTAAACAATCATTTGTATCTCTGCTCTGCTCCAAACGGGTGCATTGTTCACACATCTGCCTGCTGACTGCCTGCACGGGCTGTATAAATACATACTGGAGATAAAGCAAACGTCTCTTTGCCTCACACCTCAGAGAAAATCTATCATTACCTAGTGTGAGAAAATTATTGACATTTTCCGTTAGGTGGGCTTGGAGAACACGAAGTCCTGATGTGTGGGAGGATGGTGAGGAAGCCAGGAGCTGGAAGCCGAGTGCGGGTGGACCAGGGAGGAGCTGTTCACTGGAGCATTAGCCTTGGGAGTGCAGAGATTTCTTGGGCAGCCTTGATGCAGTGAGCAGATTTCTTAGGAATAAAGCAAGAAATTTTGACTTTGGTACAAGGAACTGAGTAAGAAAATGAATGAATGACCATATGAAAGGGGATGAACTGAAAGCAGCATCTGACCCATTGGCTTGTGCGGAGGCAGTGCCTGTGCTGGTCTTGCTGCTCCAGCTCAGACCCCACTTTTATGTCCCTCAGGGTCTCAGTGTCCTGTCCATGGCGTGTTCACCTGAGGTTCATCTGTTTCCTAAGTGGCCACCACGGCCTGGACACTCCTCTGGGAATGCAGGGCTGACAACACAGACATTGTCTCCGTCCTCATGGAGCTCTTGGTGCAGAGAAGTCTACAAGGAGCACCCAGGCAGATTAAAAAAAAAAAATTAAATTGTGACTGTGCCTTAATGAAGTGCAGGGTACTGAGGGGGAAAACTGGGAGGGCAAGCTTCGAAGGCCCCCTCTGAGGATACAGTGCTTCACCTGAGACTTTTAGGATGATGTGGATAGACTAGAGGATTTATTTGGGATTTTGATTTTGCAGGAAAAATT